CTTTGTCTGTTCTACGTAATGTTAAGCAACGTTTGGAGTCCATATCCAAGTGCCTTGTTGCTCTGCTGTTTCTCTTTTTTATTTTCTTCAGAATCTTGCTCCGAGGGCACAGCTATGAAACTTCTAACGTCTGGAACAAACTTGACGTAAGCGTCAACTCAAGGCCATGGTTTATAACAAGCGCTCTATGAGACTACTTTATAACAACTATAAACTTAATAAGTTAAGAAGCATGCTATGCTCCAACAAATGTTATATTTTGTAGATCATGCCTGTAAAAATGGCGTGTACCTGCTCATGCAGAAATATATTATTATTATTATTATTATCTGTTCGAAACCATCATACGGTAAGAAGCATCTGAGCGCCAGGCTAGTCAATCAATCATACTACACTTTTAGACGCACCTATGAGGCTTTTCTGTGGTTTTATCATGGTTCTTCACTGGCATTTTCTCCGAAGGGGATTTTATTTTTTAGTCAGATGCTATCAATTTTCCGTCAATTTATAACAATCGTACCAGTTTTTGGCCGGAGTTATTTTGACACTTCACAAACTGCTTCATCAATTTCTACTTTTGAGTTTTATAGATTGCGTTATCAGTGTCTACCTTTTCGAGACACTTGGAGCATTAATCTTCATTCCTTAAGAGAATGCCTTACCAGTTGCCTTTAGGATAATCTTGATAAGATTTTGTTCCAATCATGGTCTATCCGATGGTGCTTACACACTTCTGTCTGATTTTAACAAGTGATTAGTCAGAAAAACACCGCCCACGTTCATAGTATTATCAAGAATGACACGCTATTTTGCAAAGTTTGGGTGTCTAGTATCATCCCATTGAGTAAACCATATGACTGATAGTAGTTCACTTTTGAAACGTTTGAGCCCGCCGCTAAAATTCCACCGAAATACCCCGTCATTTTTGTTCTGCGGACTGGTATATAATAATCAGAGTATCATCACAGACCGGGGTCGTTTTTTTGAGATTTTCAGGTTCAGCACATGGACTTGTTATATTTGTAATTCGTAGTAAGCGTACAATTAAGTGCAAACGAATAATCAGTTATTACAAACACCACATCAGCTTCTTGAGAGAATATAACACCGTCAATGTTATGAAAGTAATGATTTGAAATATATCCTCAGTGATAATGATTCCGGTCTTATCAACACTTATGACGCCTAAAATCTTTCCCATCTTCTCACCTTGCACCCTAATCAAGTACCCATCTTGGAACTACTTTCTGTCAGTAATACTGACATTTCTTCCAGCCATCCTGCTAGTCACAAAGATGTTGGTTTGGATGACTTCTGTCCTTGAGAGTGCGCTTCGATCAAATTTTGCCGGCAAAATGAACGGAAGTGTCTGACGATAAAAATCAGGATGTTTGACATAGATGCCAAACTACTAGAGCAGTTTAGTGCACTCGGTACAACAGACAAGGATGAGTTAATAAATCAACTAAAAGCAGTTGTTGGAAATGAGCTATCTAACGAGTCGTGTCGGTTTTTCTTAGAGTTGGCCGACTGGTAAAGTAAAAACATCTGATAATACTAGTGCTTAAGGAACCTACAACGTGCAATCGGTGCTTATTTTGATTTCAGTTTCGAGGGTTCCGCACCAGTTAGTTGTGCATCTAATTACCCACTCACTTCCGTGAGTGTTTGTGAATCATCTACGAATGTGGACTTCATGCGTATAGATTCTGAAGTTGTGGTAGACCAAAAACAATTCGATGCACGGGTATGGCCATCACCTTATGATGTTCCGGAACTTGGTGGGTCTATCAAAGTAACTGTTGAGAACTGCGGTTCTTGTTCTTGGCCTGAAGGAACGTTCCTACGGTCCGAAGTTAGTGCCCGTTCATAACTATTTTAACCACATTTGTAAGCAGATAGACCATGCTGTTGCACGTCTAAACAGCTTATCTGCAGATAACAGTGAAGTTCTATGGCTTCCAATCGGTGTAGATGGCAGAATCCCCATTCTTCCAATCCCTCCGCGTCAAATTGTTGACCTAACATTAAATATCACTCCTCCAAACCTCCAGCTAACTTACCAATGTCCTGTTGTTGGGGCGTTGTCCTTCTGTCTACCCAATGGCGATAGGTTTGGGGGTTAGTTATTTTTACATGAAAGTTTTGTCGCTTAAGTAATGGTGTATTTCGTAAATACTTTGTGCAGGTTCATCTTCTATCTTACCCCTAATAAACTCATATTTAATCGTTTAAATATCCCAGTCATATTAAAAGACTAGTATTTGAACGAAGAATATTCTTTTCGATAAATTCTCTTCAGGTTCTACAATTATATATCCAAATTAATAATCCGAAAAATGGCCAGTTTAAGGGTAAAGTACATAGTTTAAAGCATGTGAATTTAGGATTGTGATAAATAAAATACAATAAAATTGTGCATGTTGTTATGACTCATAAAGAATGTTAACTTGAATCTGAGTTTATGTTCAGTGAGATTTTAAGATCTATGATCAGAATAAATATGGGTCAAGTAGGGTGAGAAAAATAATAGTGCAATTACCATTCGATCAAATAGGTAAGACGTAAGATTATTAATTTGGATATATAATTGTAGAACCTGAAGAGAATTTATCGAAAACTCATATTTATTTTATTGAGTCATGCAGTAACATTCCTAGTGTCAATTAATGAATAATATGTACAATTTTTGGTATATAAAGTATGAGAAACCAGAGGGTTCTGATGTGAGATTTATTAAACTCAGTTCCGTTTGTAAATTTGTAGCTTCAGCGGTTATAGTGCACTTTGGCTATTAAGGGTATGAACGTGACCGGCTAAAGTTACTTTTTATATTAAATTATATGGCACACAACGTAGATATGTGGTAGGGGAGTTAGTATTTATATACAAAATGCTGCTAATTACTAGTGTTGCAGATATCGAAAGCATTTACCTGAGCTACAAATCTTTACCGTATATTCTAGAATGTGAAATAATATGCAGTAGGAAATTGTTCCTTTCAGCTGATATTTGAAACAGGAGACATTTTTAACTCAAATTTTAGTCATTACGTAACTTGTCACATAAAGATTTATGCTTACCGTTTGCATAGCCACTGGTTTACTACGTTCTTTCTTTGGTCTAGTTTATGAGTTGTTGGGAGTAGGGAGTGAAACAACCAAAAGATAACGACCTTTGAAATCATTTTACTAGTTTAAATTGTGTGAAAGTTGGTAAACATTCTGGTCTTGATCTTCTAACACTAACTGATATGACTCGAAATCCAACGTAGTTGCATTTGTTTTTCATATTTCCCTATCATGCCATACTTTCCTGTCCAAACCATGCATCCTTCCGAGCCATATCTACGTTCATTTTCCTACCATGGTTAATATTCTTTTCATTCCGTGGTACTTTCGTATCTCACTAACGTGGCACCCCGGAAGAGTATCTATTTGTTTTACTTTGTGTTGTCTATCATTCGGTATACAAAGTGATAAACTCATTAGAGATTTGTATACTCGCTTTTGACGTACACTATGAAACCTAGTGATACTACCAGAATCTTAGGACCTAAGTGAGTCAGATCTGGAATCGAATTGTTTGAAGTCAAGTAATTTATTTCCTAAGCTATCCTCTTAAGTCCTGAGCTTCAGTTTTATATAGTACCTGATGTTCTTCGAGTTCATCCGTTCCTCGAGCAGTATTCAGTCTAGTGTTTCCCAGTGTTACTGTTACTAGTATTATTCTGACTTTCGTTATCCTCATTTTAATGTATTGACATGTTATGAGAACTTGGGCTAACATGTAGGTTTGGAGCTAGTCATAAGTGACCAAGCCTCCGTCGTTTTAGTTTTCAAAGAATCCATGACAAATTTATCTTCGGTTCAAAAATGGAAGCTAAGGTTTAAAAATGACACTAAGTAGGTTAGTTAAGTAATCTCAATTCGTCTAGCACAGTCCACACAACCTCTGTTAAATGATGCAATATAAGAGGTTCTCTCACAAACGTTTAACGTGTCTATTCATACTTTGGAAAATGTTCCGAGCTATTTAATAACACGGTAACTAAGCTGCTCATGATTTTAATTTTCTTGTAGAAATTGTTTACTGCACTGCTGTGCCTGATTTGGAGCACATGACTTGGAGGTACCAAAGAGGCATATTAGCAAGCACCGTGAGCGCTGGACGGAGTAGCGTAAGTATAATGGTGTTTTAGAAACAATGATTGATCAGCACTAGCTGATACCCAAATAAGCCATTTGCTTTTTAACTACCGATTCCGTTATATTTATAGTCGTATATTTTGCTTTCCAGCCTATGGTTTTGGAAGACGTTTAAAGGCGAAATATCTGCGGGATCCAACTGTGATAGCATCTCCGTGTTTAACCTTCAAACTTGTCCATAATACTTATTTTCTTGACTCTAATCTCCAGGTATTCGTGCCAATATTTATTTTCGTTACCAAAATGATTCTCTTTACTTTTCAGACGTGGTAAATGTATTTAACTTAGCCCAAGCTAGTCGGTATACATAATTAATAACTAATGTACGCACCTCATATAAAAATTGTCAAAAGTGGCTTATGGCTTTTTAAAAAAAAAGTTGTTAGTACGTTTATTTTTGTAAGCGTAGTAGACTACTACAGAAAGAAATCAAGATTACATATTAATGATCATTGAAAAAATCGGGGTGAACTGCTTCACGATGCATTTGCAAAGCAGCAGAAAGACTTGATTGAAAAAATAAAAAGACAGCAGCCAGGATTTAGCAATTACAAGTTAATCTAGGTTAAAAACTGAATTAGGCTTGTAGGTAAAGTGTGAGTCAAAGCATACAAAATATCGATGTGGGATAGGTTCGAACTTGCAAAAATTGAGTAACAAAAATGATATTCCTGTTAGAAATCTTTGTGAAACTGAACAGACGGACAGAAATATTTATGATAATAGTTGTCCGGTTTACTCGATAGTTTTCAGCTCCGTCATGATTGATGCTGGATGTTAGGTTATCTGTTCTTATTCCTTTTTTCCCAGACTCTCTCGTGCTGCACGAATAAGCGGTCCAAGAGAAGACAAGCTCCCTGCATGCTTAAAAAAATCGTGGTTAAGCAGTTCCTTTGCAGAAGCTCGTCTTACAGGATCTACGACCAGACATCTGTCCAGAAAATCTTGAAGCATCGGGTGCAAGTTCTTGGTTTTTGGTCTAGGTTTTCCCATTGTTTGGATGAGGTATATTGCCTGAGTAATGCAAGAAGAATTTTCGTTACTTTAACAATGATTACTAGTAGCTTAATGGTAGCAAACTTTCTAGTTTTTAATTTAATCAGCGACTAGTCTGCGATAGGTAACATAACATAAACCTTTCTATTTACATAGAACTACCTGCTTTAATAGAAAATTATGGTTTGAATGTGAAGTAAGGATTAGTGCTTCCAAAACATTCGGATGTAGAACTTGTAAATTAGTAGTGTCAGTGATAGTAAAGAAAGTTAAAATGTGGTTCACAAAAGAATGAGACAATATGTTTGAGTCGGCATGTTTAATAGCTTGAGGAAACAAAATGATGTTAATAGCGAAATCTGTTTAAGGACAATTGGGATGTAAGCAGTGAAAATTCCTCTTACTTAATATTTGTTGTTTTTACACAGACTGAACGTAAGCGTTAACGGTTGTGCTAACACTGCAACAGGTTTTCTGCACTAACCTTAGACATCTGCACTGTGTTTGGGAAGATACTCTAACTGTGGCCCTTTCAAATTCCTTTAGACGAAGCCGATGACAGCCAAGATCAGCGACAGGTGACTAAGTTCAATAGCATTTTGGCTTACGTTTGAAGGTAGAGTAGGCCGATTAGTTCTTCGGTTTTAGGTTTTGTGATTAACTCAAACAAACATCAACATCGTATGTTGGACGAAGACTCATTACCCCAAGTTGTCATAATTCATGATATGGTACACGTAAATAAACAAAAATAAAATGTCTATATAAAATTTTGATCAATAATGAAACGTATAATATACAATATACGAAGATTGAATACATTCGTATTTCTTACAGTGGAATAACCTCGAGCATACTGTCCCATTTCCGCTTTTTTTACTTGCTACCATTTGCTTATCTGTGGAGGCTTTTCTACTCTTCATTATACTCGTAATCAACCAGGATAAATATTTGTGCACTAATAATTCCATATGGAATTGGGGAGACATGTCGATTTTTGAATACCAACTAAATTTGGCTATTTTAGTTGTTCCTCACAGCAGTTGAGTCATTTCTAGTTTAATGTTTAGCTTATTTCTTGTTGATTTTATCGTCAAACCGAAGATGAATAGACTTTCCTGCAGTCTGCTTTCTTCACAGACATACGATGATCATTGTCAAAATGTCAACAGGTAATGTGATTAGTGAGAACCTAAATATCTCATCTAACAGTAATTATTATGATTTGTGCGTCCATTTTTATGTTGATGTTAACGGTGACGGGGTTAGGTAGTCTCTCAGAACGTTTGAAACTGTTGATAAGAAATAAGTAGTTGAAAGCCATTACATTGTCCGCTTGTCTACACGGAAATCTGAAGACAACCTAATGCACCCCTATCACGCGTGTCGATCTCTTGAAGGCTAGTGGACGGTGTACTGGGCATTATACTTAATGGAGCCAAGTTAGTAACGATCGTAGAGTAAAACAATTCAAGAACGGATACTTAGTTAAATGAATTAACATAACTCCTTTGCTACATACAAGTTGGCGTATACGGTTTTAAGTTACACATTTGGTGCAAAGGTTACTGATAATACTTATTTACTCAAATTTAGGCAGTACTACTAACATAGGGAGAAAGATGAAAATGTCGTTGAGTACGTGGACAATTTTACGGCTATCGAAGCTATGAGCTGATGCGACTAAGTAAGTGTTTAGCAACGGAGGAGCCCAACGGGATTATCTTGAAGCTGCATACAGGCCTCTGTAATAGAGCTGCTTCCGTTCCCTAAAATTTTCAGGGAGACCTATCGTAATCGTTTATTTGTAGGGCAAAAAGCATATTGATGTAGTCTTAGCAGGGTTTTGAAGAATGAAAAAATGTGATTGTTCATGTTCGTATATCAGTAGTCAGGTAGGTAACTATTATTTTTACCACCGGATTCAGCTTCCAAGACCATTCAGAACAGACTGCGAATTTGAGAAAGTCTGGTTCGTAAAAATTTGAATGGGTTTCCAAAGGTTGGGCGCAGAATATTATTTGGTGTTTAGGACTTGCTCGATACAAAGACTGCACCTGACACCTTATAAAAAGTCACTGGACGGCGCACACACTCGACCATCGACGTGTCATGTCTGTCAAGCAGTTGTTCGAGTGGTCGCTAAGACTTATTTCTTGACATTAGAATAATAGTTGTCCATCGCAACAATCTAGTTGAGAAATGATAGTTTGAAAGCCCTCTTCTTGAAGTTTTGAGATGTATGAAACTGGGACCAACGGCTATCATGGTGATAACTAATACACTGCATGCGATAGTCCGACACCGGAGGTTATATTGTTGACCGGATGTGGTTGTTGCAAATCACTGATCAAGCACACGTTTTGTTTACTCTGTTTAATCGTTTTTATGAGCTGGTAACACTCGAAGTTTGGCGAACTCCGTATCATGGATTCAGTGATCGAAAATCAAATCACAGGCTGGTACGATTGAGCTACAATTTACTTACATTGATTTGACTGGCTGATCATTAACGATGGCCTTTATAAGAAATGAGCGTAAATCAGGGTAAGGAAAACAGGTCAATATATAACATTTTGGAGAGGTATAATGCTTGAATGGAAGAGACTTTTATAAATTGATCTTTTTCACAGTCTTCATGAACGAACAACACCTTAGTCATCAGCAGACGACATGTCTTTCTGAGCAAATGGCAAGTTATCTTAGGCACGACGGTCGAACAATAATAACCCAAGAAGATAAAAGCTTTCAGTTGTACAATGTGATAAATACATGGTTTAACATACTTTTAGTGGAGGTTCATTCATATAAGGTGGTTCTCCATCCAACATTTCAATGATCATAATGCCAAGTGACCAAATGTCGATTTTCGGCCCATAATTTGCAGTCTTCGAAACAACTTCAGGAGCCATCCAATAAGGAGTCCCAACCATGGTTTGGCGTTTACTTTGCCGATTACCAAGCTGAGCACAAAACCCGAAGTCGGTGACCTTGACTTGACCCTGTTTTCCAAGTAGTACATTGTCAGATTTTATATCCCTGTGAAAATGTAAGTAAATTGACTTATTTTGATCTGCGTTGTAGGTTAAAGGTAAAAAAAAGAAATATTTAACCCGAGTTTTGCATAGTAATTTTTATTTTAAAAAATTGCTTCACTGTAACATATCTTCAAGCTTCATAACTTGTGCTAGTTTATATGACCTAAATGAACAGGACTTGTAGGGTACTCCTGGAAAAACTGGTTAAGCATTGATTAGTTCAACTGTATCTTCATTACGACGTGATTATTAGCTTAAATGGTTGCACTTTGTGATGCGAATTGGTGGTAGAATCTAAAAATTGATCGACAGGTCCGAGAGTAATGCACTTTGTCAGTGATTAGAAAGGTAATACTGGTAACTAGGGAAATAAACCCTCCACCTGAGTTTTAAACCTATGCCACTGTGTCGCAGTTGAAGAAATCATCATTGAGCTATTCAGATATAAATGATCTTCGGTCAGTATATACGTTCCAGAACCACTTAATTATGTTGATTCTTCGAAGATCACTGCATTGAATCTGGGAATTAATATGCTGTCATTTAAATTTCAATAAAACTTTGATATATACAAAATATGCCCTTGTAAATAGCTATACATACTTAAAAGGTATGCAAATCTACTAATTTGGTTTGCAAAAGTAGATTAATAAATTCACCTACTGATGGAGTCAAATTAAAGGTAAGTTTTGCGAATGTGATTAATGATTTGAAAGAACTGAAAACACTGCATAAAAATTGGCTAGTTATTTTTATGGGTTTTTTTCAGATACCGTAACAATGTTTGCTTTGTGGGGTAGATCATAATATTACGTTTTTAATAGCGATGAAAAATAGTTAGCCACGTGATAACTGGAATTGTTATTACAACCCTGTTATTACCTAAAACGAGAGATAAAAAACAGCAAGAAAACATGAGATTAATGTACTATACCTATGTATTATATTCTGATCGTGCAGAAATACCAAGGCTTTTACACATTCCCGAACAACAGCGGCAATTACGTCTGGGGCCATGACAGTCTCAGTGACTACATCTGTCAGTGCACCACCATCCAGGTATTCCATCACAACCCACAGCTGATTTTCATTTCTTAATAAATAAGATGCTAAGTAATTAACAATATTTTCATGTTGTATGCGCTTCATGACAGCAATTTCGGAAACGATTAAATCGCGATTGGGCTGTTTATCTAGTTTCATTACTTTGACAGCTACAATTTGTCCTGTTCTTTTATTTCGACCAAGTCGAACGGTACCTGAAGCACTTAAAAATCAACAAAGAAGCAAGCTCACGTTTAAGTCAGATTTATGGAAATTAACAATTGCATAAATATTTAAACACAATGGGTTGACTAATTTACTACTGTGCGCTTCCAACACAGCAAAATAATCAGTATCTGATCAAAACGAAGGGGGTAGAGGGACAAGAGAAAATAAACTGACGTTCCAGACAGCCATGATGTTTTCAGTTGTATTAATTGAAAGCACTGGATAGTATGGAGAAATATAGAATAGATTAAATCATTTAAGGACGTTTACATGTATTCTGAAAGTGACGGTCAGTGTCCAAATAAACAAATGCATAAGTCGGTACATTTATTTGAAAAAGGAATCAGTAGGTATACATTTGGTTAGGAATTGTGACCAGATGACATTGTTCAATGCTAGTTTTTTTGTAAAGGAAAAAGTGTCATGTTTTTTTTAAAACTTAAAGTTAAGTTCTTCATTTCACGATAACACCTTTTTATGAACAGAGTGAGAGGAAAAAAGCATTTCAGAAAAGTCATCGGGCTTAGCATGAATTTCAGCACACAAAATTTCTTGGTTTCAAATACCACGTGCTTATTGTGCATTAAGTTAATTAATATTGATCAGCAGAACAAATGTAAACCTATCAAGACACTAAATGGAACAAACTAAAATTTTAATAGAAAAACGCAGATTTACTGATAAGGCTAATTAGCTTTTTTATACTTAGCAGTGGCAAGAAACTAATGCATTGTATAGTTTTTAGTGGTAATTGTTCAACAAACTTGAGTTGCTGGTTCAAATTTGAGACGTAGAAGTGTTAGTGTTTGAAAGTTAGATTGCACAATATCCTACATCATGTTTCATAGTATTAGACAGATACTGTTAATGAGGTGATCAACTGCATTCTAATGGACAAATGAATACTCATCGTACAAGCGACGATTAGCTCTTTGTACAAATTTATTCATCGTATTCATATACCACCTAAACAAGATTACAAAAAGTAGCTAACTACCAATCAGTTATTTCCTTTTTTTGCATAAATGCAACGGCGACTACTTCCGACATTAAAGTGTTTTGAAAAGAATTCTCAACTGTTTACTAGGATCAACAGCAGAATTATGAATTAGGATTCAGCGTGAGAGTTAGAATTTCGGGTCTCCATCACGAGCTTACATCAATTTTGATGCCGGAATTGTAGTCATTTTGATTAATGGATTTCGTGCAAAAATCCAAGAGGCGCCATCTTAAATCTGATTGGTTTCTTGATAAATAATGGTCCCAGCATTTAGATCATATCTGCATACAACGTTTAGTGATAAGTGTAAAGAACAAGTGGAGAGTATATATGCTACAGACATTGTATTACACAAGAATTTTCTAATCAGTCATCCTAAAGTGACTGTAAGGTGAAATACTGTCAGTACCTGATCATATGTCAAAATATGAATATATAATAATGATCCTACTAGTTTAATTGGTGTAGAAGTTAAATAAACAGAAGTTAAGGCAGTTGTACTTCATAATGTAGGATCAACATCAATGAAGATCGGATAGTTGGTAACAAAAACAGAATATAGTACAGTAATATTTATCGGTAATAAATTTCATATTTAGATAATACACGTACAAAATGCTCAATAATGAATCCCGCTTTCATAAGAAACAACACACTTGACGAATTAAAGTATGTTTAATAAAAAAAACCAGTTAACACTTGTATGACAGATGGAGTAAAAAAGTTTGAAGATGGTGTAAATTAAAAATTTACGAAAGATTTCTGATTGATTGTACTATTATGGAAAAGCTCATCAAAATTATTTACATAATGCGGACACATAAACTTGTCTAAAAAGCACATTCATATTGATAAGACATATTGAGAGTTATAAACTGCGCCAATCAGGCATAACAGGTCAAACTAAAAATTAGATATGCCGACGGGGGCACTTAATGGGTAAAGAGTTGGAATGATTACCCAAAGGAAATAGATATTTATGAATGTGTTTATACACATGTTTTGGTTCGAGTTAGCTAACAAAAATTGGCTACGTGTCCTAAGTTTTCTCACTCAATTAGCTGCTTAGGCATGTGTAAATACCTGTATCGTACTCAAACGCCCACCTAACACAACAGAAAGTATTTAAAACTAACCTAGAAACGTCACATCATTATACTGTTTATTATTAAGAAATGTGTAACATACAGCTTTTATAAGTAGAATAATCTACTGTAAGTCATAAACAAAGAAAATATACTGGAAGGGGTTGTCCGACTGTCGTTTCCTAACGGACACTATTTTGTAAGTAAACAAACAATAAGTGTCGGGTGAGTTACAAAGAGGAGGCCGGATAACCCCAGTATTTATTTTTTCTTGGAAAAAGGTTTGCAGGTATATAATTTTGTGTGAATAGATAAAGAATGAAACTTTTACGAGACTGGGAAATGCATACTGAAGATCATTAAACACAAATACAATATTCAAGATAACCCTGAAAAGCACAACAAACTTGCGCTAAGTAACAGTTTACAATAGCAAATAATATATACGGGCCATAAATTCAAACGTTTTGCATAATCCGGTATTAGTACGTTGAAAATAAATGGATTTTTAAAACTAGTAAGCAAACACACATGAAACTACGATACATTATTGAATAGTATGTATTATTTCCAAGTCAACATGAGTAGTTTTATCTCACCTGAACTGCGGTGATATAACGACAAGGTAATATCATTCCAATTTTGTAAAAGTAGAAACTATTTTATTTTAATATGTTGTAAACAAATTTTGAAACAGATCAATATTAACTAATTACACGGATATGTAACTCATTATAGAATTATGAAAAGAATATTCTATAAGATATTTTTGAACAGCATAAAATATTCAGCGTAAGTGAATGTCGTACATATGTGTAAGTGCTTGATCACTACTCATTTCAGTTATGCGAACAGCTAGGATAAATGGTATAGGCAACCATTTTGTTTAGATGTAATATAATTAGGTGTGTCTGTCTAATGACATGTCTTTCTTCGAAAAACTGACTATGACGTGTCTAATTTACAGTGACAAACAGAACTATGGGATATTAGATAGACTGATGTTTTCGGAGATGAAATTGTTTTGAATGACTTCTTTGATTATGTGCCACTGCCGATTAGTACATTCAGCAATGTAATGATTTCAGCCAGAAAATTATTTATCTTTTATTTATAGTTACACTCCTAACGAAAAATCAATAAACATTGAATTCAGTCAGTGATTAGAAAAGTGGATTGTTTTTTGACAAGAAACACTAATAACTATCGATTGATTTTCGTTTCATAAGTAGAATAAAATACACAAAACGCTAGAACGATATGAATTGACAGTATTATTGTTGTGGATGTAAAATTCTAAGAAAAGAAATCAATGTTGACTTATGATGAACTTTAGTTACATTATTTTTAGAAATTGCTTGGATAACGCATGTGACCAGCAAATCTTTTCACTTCAAACCATTCTCCAGTGTATACTCTTTATCATTCCGATTGATAATAATACTTTTTCTATTCGTTTTTACTTACTGTCAAATTTATCTCGTCACTAATGTCGTATGGAAATTCGGGCTAACGCGCATTTTTGCCAAGGTCTATGTTATCTATGACTGATCAAAAAATAATCACATTATGCTAATATTTTTGAGTTAGAATTAAATCCACGTAAATCAAGACAGGAAACTGTGGTGTTTGAATGAACTAATGACTTCTTTGTACTTGTTGAAAGTTTGATTTCGAATTTCAAATACAGTACATTCGTTAGTGCTTGTGTAGTACTTCTTGATTGAATTGCGTTATTTCTGGGATTATTAGTTAATACTATAATTCAAATACTTCTAATTATCTTATTGGCGTCGCGATGGAGCCTGCGATGAAACAGTTAGATATTCATCCAACTTCTGAAGCTTTTGAGGATTATTTGGAAAGGTTTGAAATCTGGAGCATGACCAAGAAAGATGTTAAAGATGAAAGGATTGTGGCACATTTCCTGACATTCATCGGAAGAGAAGCTTACAGCTTATTAAAAACTTTGGCATATCCAGAAAAACCTATCTCACTTCCTTAAGCAAATCTTAAGGAGCTATTAATAAATCATGTAAAGTGCACTAGTTTTGAATGCCGTGAAAGGGCGAAATTTCATAAGATGATTCATCGAAATGACCAAAAGGTTGAGGAATTCATTCTTGAATTGCAGAAACAAGCTGCCAAATGAAATTTCAGTGATCAACTTCATGTGCAACTGAGAGACCGATTAATCACAGGAATTAACATACCGGGTTTGAAAAGAGAGCTGTTAAGAATGCCGAACTGTTCGTTTTAAGATGCTAGAACTGCGTGTATTAACTACGAGGCAGTGAATGAACTTGATATCCAGTCGATGAATATTTCTAATACTTTGCTTAGTCGTCATGATGGAATACAATCTCAGGGTCAATCAAAATTGCGTTCGTTTAACAGTGGTTCCTATTCTCGTGTTAATATGAAAGATATCTCAACAAGGAATTACAAAGCAAATCACAAAGGTGAGATCAAGTTTAGTAAATATTTGTCATGTGAGAAGTTTCACTCTCTCCAATACACTGTCGGGCAGACATAGGATGAACTTGAGAAGACGTACAATTGATTACAGACACTTAGACTCCAATTTAAGCTGTGGCGGATGTGGTGTTTGAATAAACTAATGACTTCTTTGTACTTGTTGAATGTTTGATTTCGAATTTCAAATACAGTACATTCGTTAGTGCTTGTGTAGTACTTCTTGATTGAATTGCGTTATTTCTGGGATACTTAGTTCATGCTATAATTCGAATACTTCTAATTATCATAAAAACACTATTACGCACGACATTTAGCTGGTGAAAACGTTTTTGTTATACCAGTAGTTGACAATTTAGATCAAACATGCCGTCCCATATAGATGGGAGAGATCCAAGATTAAAAATGTATATTTTATTTATTTTAACACATAGA